AAGGTGTTGCGGAATGAAAGGGGGTTGCGGGCGGGAAGAAGGGAATTGGGGAAGGTGAAGTTTGGGGAGGAAGAAGAGGGGGGGAAAGCGAAGATGGAGATAGAAGACGGAGAAGAGGGGGAACAGTCACTATGTTCTGGATCAGGCACCACCGTGGCACCCACCACCAACAAGATGAAACAGAGAATGAAGAGGATAAAACAGGAAGAGGGGGAAGGCCAGAGGAGAGGAAAGGAAGCAGCAGGAGAAGGTCCAGAAAAATAAAAAGAGTGGACGAGAGCAAGAGGGAGATAGCGAGAGAGGAGGGGGGGGGAGGGCGGCCGAGGGAAGGGGATGGTGAGTGAACTATGGCGGCGGTCGGAGAAGATACGGACGGGGAGGCATCGAGGCACAACAAGCGAGAGATCTGCGCCAGAGAAGAGGAATGGAAGAACGAGAGAAGAGGTTCGGATAGTGGTGTGGAGGAGAAGAGAAGGGAGGGAGAGGAGGTTGTTGAAGGTTGAGAGGGACGGAAAAGAGGAAGAGGATGAGGAAGAGGAAGAGAGAGATGGGAAGATGATGGAGGATGATGGAGGATGGATGATGATGGGTGAGGCTGACAGCAACGGTGATGATGGTAGCCTCAGGAATATACATCCTACTTATCATCAACACCACCTCACCTTAATTTGACTCTGTCGCTCAACTACGAATTGCTCTGCAATTATAGATTCTTGCACCTGCTCGACAACTACCATTCTTAATCTTATTGAACATGACTTTTGTTACCTAAACTTAGATTATCTTCTTGTCTAGTAACCCTCTCATTTTGTCCATAATGATATCGGACGAAGTCCCAGTCAGTCCATCTTTAATTAGGCAGAAAAGTCCACAACGGTCAATCTCCAAACCAATCCATTGTGCTTGATACTAGATGCGCACCTATTTGATCCTCTTTGGTAGACCCTATTCGATAAGCCATTAAGATGATCAACGACTCGTGGCTTTGCCCGGAAGTTCATCATAGATGATTCTCTGCGCCGGTCTATATATAAATACCAGGGTAAGTTTTAGGTAACGCAGTAATATCCCCACCAGTCCGCAATGACAGCTACTAATGAACAAGTTCCAGGTTCTTCAGAGTCCACAAGTCAATGCGACCACATTTTCTGTCGCAGGGCTCGTAACGTTCATAAGTTGGAGTTTTAAAAATAGATTCCATTCCTGTGCTGCTCGATACATCGCCGGATCGTCGGACTGGTGCCTATTTATCCAAGATTCAAGACATCTAGTTATCTGAACTACTCACACTACACACACTCAGCCACAACCATGACTTACCATCTGAGGCAGTAACCACCCATTCACCACATCGCTCCTTCCTTGATTCATGCTTTATCTCTCACTCAGTACTTTCCGCAGACTAGATGATAGTATACCTAGGAAATAATCTCACCCCAAAAAAAGGGATTACTATGTAGCACACAACACCCCCCCCCCAGCCTAATCTCACATCGGAAGTTGAATCCGAGCATCCCCGAAGAAGAACGAGGTGAGAATTACACCAAATAATCGGAATTCTCCAAGGTAGAACCATGATCCGATACCAGCCCACTCGGATAACCCTCGGGGACGGAGACCTGCGCTATCACCTCCAGCGGCTTCTCAACCGCCATAGTCGCCTGACGGAATGGCACCAACACGATCAATTCCTGAATGACAGCAGCTTTGATGGTGGCGAGGACGATGCCTTTCTTGAGTCCGACTCGGACCTCTTCTCCGCACCGTCCGTGTCGCCGCCAGATTCTATCTGTTATTCGGCTCCAGACGAGGCTTTTGAAGACGGCTCGTCACCGCGTGGCAGAGGAGGAGGAGACCATAACACCAGGACTGAGTGCCCACCAGAGGCATCCACTTCCCCTTCGTCGACAAAAGGCACAGGCTCGCCGGTCATTGTTCAGCCATCCGCTTTGTCATTAGAGACGGCAAGGTCCGCTGAGAAAAATGTGGATGTGCACGGTGAATGTCAGCTTTCAATGGAAGGTCAGGACACCCCCTCAGGGGGTCGAAATGGAGAAGCAAATCGATATTCGCCGGGCTGTTATGACTTTCCAGATACCTCTTTGTCTGACTGTTTAACACAACCCACAGCGGTGTTTAACAGTGTTAGGGGTGATGTCACAAGTGAAACGCATCCTCCCAGGCCTTGCTCTCAGACTCCTGTCTCATTTGATTCTTGTTCTCTGAACCATCGATCGGGCTCATTGTCTACAACTTCTCTTCCAGAGCCGCTAGACACTCGTGCTGTGCTTCTCACCAACCTTCTCACCGATCTATTGCTCGAGAAACAGCCAACGCAGCAGTCAGGTATGAATGAGCGGACCACAATTCGTGGCCTGTTCAGAGAATGAGGCTGATGTGCCGCTGAGATGTAGTGGAACTGAATCGGACCCATACGAACCTGGACGCAGCAGACGAAGAACGTGGCACAAAATCTGATATCGAGAATCATCCACGTTCCTTGGTAACGATTCCACCGGGACGAAGCACAAAGCCTCTCTCACCTTGTCTGACAGACAAAGAGGAGTTCAGAAGCACATCGATCACAGACACAATGGTCGATGGTGGCAAGACCAAGTTGCAATCCTCAAAAAAATCAACACGCGGCCAGCGGGCCAGTAACCTCTTGGGTGATGTTGTGCCGAGCTGTGACAGTTGCGCGGGGGGAGCCCACAATCCCACACCTCTAGATGATAAGGCAACTTCCGTCACTGAATCGCAGCATGATTCTCGTTCACATTCTCGATTGACAGAAGCACGCTTGCACGGTTGTCCGGTTGACAATGGTGGCGCTAAGAATACCCAACGTCCAACCAAGCTGGTGAAACTGAAAGGAATCAACCTTGCTGTTATTGACAAGCTGTCACCCAGTGCCCAGACAGACATAGGCCAATCGCTCCGAGTGCCAGACCGAGATCCTGGAACCGGTTCCTGCCAAGGCTACGGGGATCCACCCAAGACCATTGCTGGCAAACATGAGGTAAGTAGAGGTCTATCAATGGGGAAGCTAAGGAGTCTGTACAGCCGCAGGGCTGATTTCTCTGTTTCCACCAGTTTCGTCAGGAAAATCAGCCAACAAGGTCTGCATTCGCGACGCCCACAGCACTCGCTCAATCATTGGCCCTTTCTGGCAATGAGAACTCACATACTTTGATGCAACCAATGAGTGCGAGAATGTCTGCCACACAAGCCCACCCTTGCGAGGGGGAAGATGTACGTATTCTCGCACTCTGGCGTTCGCTAAGAAGACCTCTGATGGGAATTCCCATTGGACAGCATCGGGAAGCGGCCCTCCACTCGATTGAGGTGGAGGCGGCAAATTTCGAAAAGTACGTCAACATGGCGATGTACGAGATGCTCGCGAGCTCAGAGTCAGAGGAATTCAAAGATTTGGTGGAGTGAGAGCTACGAGTACCTTGCCCCTCGGAAGAGCGGAGCCATGTCTCTCAACAAGCTCGTGGCTGACCAGTCGGATGCGCTCCTTTGGCTGTCGAGTATGGAAACAGTGGGCGGAGAGGCACGTCAGCTTGAAGGTGCAGCTACTGGCATGCAATAATTCGTTCAGATGGTATGGTACAGTGCAGCATACATAAGAGGAAAGGCGTTGGTTGGGACAATGTGCGAACACTCAACTTGTGCAGATCCTGGCAATGAAATTGTCAATGCGAAGTACTCAGTAGCAAACAGGAGATGTATCAGTAACTATGTCATGCTAGATTTGTCATGCTAGATTTGGTTTGGTGCACTGCCTTATAATAACAGGCACAGTTGTGCCCACTGCCCAGCAGTTGTCCAGGGATTGCCCCATTTCTATCTTTGGTGCTGAGGCCACGACTCGGGGACGGACTGTAGTGAGTGTGGTTCCAAGTCCACGTTATCAGGCCACGACAGCAATCTCTCAATCTAGATGACTAGTAAGAAATGTTTTCCGAATATCTTATTGAACAAAAAAACGAATATCTTATTGAACAAAAAAAAAGATAATAAGAAGTAAAGACAATGGCCCCAATCTTTCGCCATCGCAGGCTGTGGTGTCGTCAACACTGCTCCTCTGCTCCTCCTAGACTATGCACTTTCAGTTTTGTCTTGATGCCGATGGCAAAGCACTTACGCGTCCCCGGTGGGCTGCTAGCCTGCTACGAGTAGGACTGGTGCAGAGTTCGGGTTCCTGATTGTTTGGTCCACCGTGTCCGTGTCGGCGGTGGAGCCGGGCTAAGGTTCGTTTGGGTTTGGGATAGTCTGGTTTACTGGACGGTTTGGGTGGGTTGGTGGGTTGGTGCCTGAATAACCACCTGAGGCTAACAACTCTCTACGAGTAACCTTAGGTATACCGGTACTGTACGGTGGAGTTCAGCGTCAAATAGGTAAAAAGGTCTCGATCAACTTACAAGGAAACAGAATAGATTAATCTCTAGTCTCGAATCCATGAGACTTTGTAGGATATAACCTAATTTTCATGGAGTACGGGTTAGTATCATCTTCCTCCTAGACCCATACAGCAGGGAAAAGCATACTACCTCATCTGCATTAACTAGCCACAACTACAACCACAACCACCCACCCACCGTCCCAGCTCCTTTCACATTCATAATCAAGACCAACAACACAACACCGCACCGCACCGCACCGCACCGCACCGCACCGCACCGCACCGCACCGCACAGCCAAAACAACCAATCCAGCCAACACCTACCTAGTCTACAAGCTAAACCTCCCAAGCCACGCCACGCAAAGAAGCGGCAAAGTACACATGACGGACGCATGGCATGATACCGACCAAAAGAGTTGAGCTGAGCGGCGCTGGGCTAAAACTTGGGGCTAGAGCTGCGCGGTCTTGGGGGGAGGGTCAGCCTTACAGATAATTGAGGCTAGATTCTCGGTGAAACATCTGTGGGTTTTGTTTTGTTGCAGGGTCAGGCCTCGCTCACTGGGGGTCGATCCACGATCCATCAGTGCAGTAGCCCGGGTCTCTGCAACTGACTATGGGTAGTAAGGCCGATTGGTTTGATATAGATAGATTGATACACCTCCCTAAGAGTCACGGTAAGGGATTCGGGTCGCGGTGTTTACAGACCACCGACTCACTACATCACACTAGATGCCTTGATCGGGCAAGCCGGATGCGAAACATCTATCGGTGCATCGAGGCACCGCAGTTGAGCTGAGAATAGCAAAAGATGTCTCACATGAGACACGCGAATGACAAGCTCATGTCCGCCCGACTGATGTTTCATATCGGTCCTGAAATCAAGGCCGATCGGGGCCTAGCCGGAGGTGGCCAGTGGCAATGACATGCATCCAAATATAGATGGGCGAGATCACAAGCACCTGTCGCAAAGCACAGCTCATTTCGGGAACATAACACAGTCTAAGAATTCTTGCTCATTTATAAATCTTGGGATATTCTAGCAAATCATGTAGAAGAAGAGAAAAGCTGGTTGTTTCACCATCACTCAGAACAAGAAAGATGCCAGCACAGATATCTCCCGTACATCGCTCTCAAGCAGACAGAAAAAGGTAAGGAAAAGGGGAATATGAAATGGGGACAAAACAGCGGGTTTATGGGCGAAAAAAAAATCAGACTCCCTGTGTATCATTTTTGATCCCCCGGTCATTTCAAAATATTAAATATGTGTCGTCTATAATCACTCCGCGCACGTTTAGTTCTTCTTGGCGAAGACCTGGGCACCGTCAACCAGGCGGCGCTCAGTGTTCTGTCTACCGTTGACAAAGTCGGGGTAGTTGAGGGTCAGCTCAACAGAACCGTTGACAATGTTGTCAACAGCCTCCACACCCAGCATGAAGGAGTGGTCCTGGTTGCCGACCTCGTAGCGCCAGCTACCGAAGCGACCACGGGTCCAGATGTCCTTGGCCTGAAGCTTGGGCAGGATCTGGGTAAGAGCACCCTCACGCTCCAGACTGGGAGTGGGGTAGCCGTGGTCGAAACGGCGGTGGTAGGTGGAGACGATCTCATCGGTGGGCTTGAGCATCTCAGTGTTGACAAGACCCTGGATACAGTCGGCCAAAAGGGTCTCGTGGTTCACGGCCTTCATAGAGGACTCGGAAACCTCCAACATGATGGACCAGTAGGGACCATCCTGGGGCTCGGTGTTCTTGGGCTTGGAGCCATCGGCAAGCTGCTGGGTAGCCAGCTTCTTGGAGGACTCGGGCTGGTTGTAAGGGGAGTAGTTGGAAAAGATAGTGGCACGGTAGAAGGGGCAGTTGTCCTCGGGGAAGTAGAGCTGCGGAAATCCTTGTTAGCACAAATTTCCTTTTTTTTTTTTTTTTTTGGTCAACTGTGAATCTCTTACCCAGCACTTGTCACCGATTCTCTCAGGGCGTTCACCACGGATACCGACACCAATGACGTGAGTGGAGGAGTAGAAGAGCTCCTTGGTAAGGCCGATCAACTCCTGGTCGCCGATCTGCTCAGCAAGGTAGTCGACAGCCATGGTCGAAACGAGCTTGTTGTAGCCGACGGTGGTGCCATCGCCGAGGGTAACAGTCTTGTTGTTGGCGTTGACCTTGACAACCTTGCCCTTCTCACCGAAGCGAGTCTTCTCCTTGGGGAGAGTGTTGGCAACGGCAATCCAGATACCACCGGTACCATCACGAGCGGGGAAACGGAAAGTAGCGTTGGGACCCCAGTTACCAGCGGTCTTGTTGAGGATGACATTGGTCGTCACAGCCTTGACATTGGGAGCAGCGACACGCTCACCCAACCAAGCGCATTGCATCTGTTCTCAACTGTCAGCAATCGAATTTACTGGCGCGATCAGATGCGTTGACTCACCTTAGTGGTGGGCACAGCCCAGACCTTGTAGTTGTAAGGTCTCATGAAAAGGTCGGCAATGCCGACACCCATCTGGCGGACGATCCACTCATCGAAGTTGGCGGGCTTGGTATTGGCCACACGAGCCTCGAGAGCAGCGTCAATCAGACCATCGATACACTTCACCTGCTCCTCCTTGGGCAGCATGGAAATGTTGTTCTGGAAGGGGTAGGGAACCCATTGTTCCTTGCAACGGACGTAGGAGATACGCTGGTGGGTGTACCAGTCGTCGTCCTTGGGAAGAGCCTCGTTGATGCAGTCATCGAAGTACTTGTAGTGGGAGAAGATAACGTGGCCACCGACATCGAAGAGCTGCCATCGCGGTTAGTCGAGGACGTTGCACGAAAGGGCGTAGGAAGTTCCTAACGGAGTACATACGAAGCCTTCGGGGGTCACATCGGTAGAAGCAAGACCACCAGGAATCTCGTTGCTGTCAACAATCAACCAAGAGGGACCATCCTGTATTTCGCATCAGCATTGGCGGTTTCGTTGCTTGGTGGTGGAATGCGGAAGTTCGTACGATCTGGTTAAGACGCTTGGCGGCACCGAGACCAGTAGGACCGGCACCAATGACGAGAACGTCAACGGAACTGTAATACGGAAAACCATGTGTAAGTATATAGCTTCAAGAATCCAGTTGCGGAAAAAAGACGGAGAGCTGGAAAGCTCATGGAGGACTTACATGTCTGGGTGGGTCATCCTGCCTTGTAGAATATCCTGGAAGCTGGGGACGCGGTTCAAAGTCTTGCGGGCGAGGCTCAGCATAGAAGAGGAATCGTGAAGCTGCAGGGAAAGTACTGCAGTTTGAATTTAAGGGAGAAGGGAGGGAATGCCGAGAGAATGGAGGGGGAGGGGAGGGTTGAAGAGAGAAGAGAGAAGGGGAGAAGAAGAAGACGGTGAGGGAGAGCGAGGCGGGGAGGGGAAGGTATAGGTAGCTGTTATCAAAACGCAACGCCGCCGGTCGGGGAACACGAAACGTGACAAAGTGAGCCGTGGGTGGGTTTGGGTGGAGTGGGGGGAGGGAAAGAGGAAAGAGGCCTCAAGGCTCAGGCTGCCGGGAAGGATCTGTTTCAAGTTTAGGCCCTAAATAAAAATACATAAATATCTAAAATAATGAGAGGTTAATGAGAGATTGCAACGAATGGGACATCAATGGCAAATGGAACGAACGGGCTGGACCCATTTCCGTCAAACTTGAGAAAGGGGCAAAAGGCGAAGGAAGATCGAAAAAAAGGGGGAAGCTCCGCTCACTTGTTCTGGTTCGAGGTTAGTGTGCCTGGTCCGTCCTACGGTTCGTCGCCAAACAGACAACCATCATATGCTGATATGGATACACCCATGCTGATACTCATATTACTAGGTGCACTCCAGTATTATCACTCTTCCACTCTTCCACTCTTCCCACCCAGTCGTCGCAAGCTGGGGGGCAGAAATTGCGAGTCCATGTAAGACATGCAATTAGATGTCAATCATGCAATTGGCCTGTCTATCTGCAATTCTTATCAGCAATTTGAGCCCGATCCATGATACACCTGGCAGTCCTGGACTACGGAGTGCTCAGTACTAGGAGGAGGAGGAGGAGGAGGAGGAGGAGTACTCCGTGCCCTGATCTAACTATCGTCCAAGCTTCCCGCCCTCGCTCTTTCCAAGCATTGTCTCGGCAGGCCCCGACTTCATCCGTCGATATTAATCCCTACCATGCAAATTGGCTAATCTACTAATGACATCGATCCCACTGAAGGCGTGCCCCATAGCCCGGTAATCTTCATTCCCGAGATAAAACAAGTTAATATAACTACCCAGTAGCTACGATATACGGATCTGGGTTTCAGGATCGAACGAATTCGACGTAATCACTTAGTCTATATTATCTTACTAGACCATCTAAGAATCACCCCTGTCAAGAGTGATATGCTTCCCGGACAAATCACAGACCACGTTTAGGTCACCATCATTGTCTGTCGAG